CAGCAGATTAGGAAAAGAGCAGCCGCTTATCTATGGACCGGTAACCCAGACAAACAACACTTCGTACACAAAGTAGCATGGCAGATAGTCACCATGCCCAAAGAGGAGGGAGGACTAGGCCTTCAAGATCCGACACGCCAAATACAAGCCTTACAAACTAAATGAATACTACGACGGACTCTACAGAACAATCTGCAGTGGATACCCCTAGCTCTCAATCACATCAAGGAACTGGCACCCTTCAAATCCCCGCCAAACATGATCGGCCTCTTCTGGGTATTTAACAAACGGTGGCCCCTCCCAAGAATGATCAAATCCCACAGCCCCCAGCTAAATCCACTAGAAGAAACAGAAAACGATTCCTCCAAATCAATCTGGGAACTCCTTTTGCACACCTGGAGAAAAATCTTCCCAGAGAACAAACTCGGCCCGAGAAGGAAGGATGAAGTCCTTAGACAACCCATTTTTGGCAACCCCTGGATCAAGGATGACAAAGGCGAAAGCCTCGCCCTTTCCAAAACAGACGCCAAATGGGGACGCTAGCTCGAAAAAGGAATATGGCAAATCCAACACCTGTGGAANACAAAGGCGAAAGCCTCGCCCTTTCCAAAACAGACGCCAAATGGGGACGCTAGCTCGAAAAAGGAATATGGCAAATCCAACACCTGTGGAATGATTCAACAAACAACTGGAAGGAGGTAATGGTCCTGAGAGCTACCCTAAAAGGAAACCAAGCATAAAAGGCAACCTGGCAAACATAATCGAAAGCATCCCAATAGAATGGCGATGCCTACTAAAATCAGAGCAAAAATGGATTTCAGGAGACTGGGCAGGTCAGAAGAATCAAACCAATACAACATAAATCCTAAGAGTATTAAGCAGCAAACTACACAACAACAAATGGATTACACGCAGCATATTCCCCTTAGAAGACACAGGCAACCCGGTGAGCTTCCTTAACGAGGAAAGCAGAGCGGAGGGAACCTTGAAAATAAACAACTTAAGAACAATACGAGTAATAGAACTTGTCCGAAATAGAGTATATCAGGCCTGATTCCGACATCCTACACCTCGAAATTGACCCTACTGAATGGTCGTGGGGCACTCCCGGCACCACCCCAACAACAATAAAGAGGCACAAAATAACGGACTATACCCCTAAATTAGGATACAAGCTTTTCCCCGTGCCCATCACGAAATCAGTGATAGTAAAGAAAAGATGGCAAAAGGAAGAAACCACCCTTGCCAACGCATCTTTCAAACCCGCCTGGAATTCAATCTTCTGCGCTAGACCAGATAAACTGGCCAGCCTACTCTGGCTCATAACCTATAGAGCAGTCCCCGTCAACCGCTGGCTGGCATGAAGGCGAAAGGAGGAGGACAGGTCAGAACAGGAGTCATGGTGCAAAGTCTGCAACTCCCATGCCACAGAGACTCTCAACCACTGTTTCCGAGAATGTGAGAAGACCCAAGCCCTATGGAAGAAGATAGAACAAACTTGGGCCAGACACTCAAGCAAGACAGTACAAATCAACCCCAGCACTGTCTTCTTAGTAATTGAGCAACCCCCTCAGTTCAAAGGCTTTGACTTATTTTTCTTCTCACTAATCAGAAAAGCCTCACTTTGGGCGATCTGGAAAAGGAGATGTGACACGGCCTTCGAAGATCACCCCACTAACCACGGAAAGTTGAAAACCCTCTCATTACTATCAAATAACTAATAGGGACTGAAATCCACGCACTCTAGAAGAAATCTCAGATCCAAATACAAAACGCACCAGACAAAAAGCACTAGATTATCAAAAGATTCACGACAGGGAAACTAGGAGGGGGTAGTTTAGGCACGATAGAAGGAAACAGAATAGTCTGGAAAGACTGGTTCACCCTGCCACTCCTGAACAATCAGGACCCGAGGAACCCTTCACATCCACCCAGAACACAAATCGATGATCAACCTGTCCACAGTCTGTATTGCAGTCCCGACGAACATATCTAGCCCGCCTGTCCAAAAGCGTCTAATAAAGAGTGTAGCAAGGGTTTAAGCAGGGGTCCACTCAATTTGAGGAGGAAAACAGGGAAAAGGACAGCTAGACACATTAAGCAACGACTGACTCTCCCTCAAGACTTGGACAAGTGTATCACCAATTCCAAACCACCCAACACCACCTATAGCCCAGCCTTTACTGACCGCAAACCAATCAAATAACCCCCATCCAACTCCTTAGCCATAACTTCCCCGCCCCCTCCCTCCCACACACTTCCTACCAACACCCCTCCCTATCTGTTACATGTTGCGCCTGCAACAGGCTGCATGGGCCCCTTTCAGGCCCGTGACGTTTTCAGGCGAAAAGCCTGAAAACAAGGGCCTACAGGCCCCGTGTCGTTTCAGCCTGAAAGCCTGAAAACAAGGGCCTACAGGCCCTGTGTCGTTTCAGGCTAAGTCAGGGCCTTTCCGGCCCTGAGTGTTTTCAGCCTGAAACTGAGGGCCATTTTCAGGCCCTCGTCAGTTCGACCCGCCCTGAAACTCAGGCAACAAACCAGGGTTTTAGCACAGGCCATTTCGGGCCTGTTTTCAAGACAACCCCTGGTTGAGCTTCAACGCCAGGGTTTGGCACGTTTTGGCATTGGCAAGAGCAGCCTCCTGGACGGGCCAGCACTAAATAGGACTGGCCCGCCCTGCAGGCCGGTAGGTAGTTCCTAGGTACTTCCCAGGCACTTCACGTGCAGCTCAGGAGGCAGGAGGTAGTCTTCAGGATTCGGCAGCAGCAGTCTGGAGGAGCGCTGCAGGAGCAGTAGTAGCGCTAGCAGTAGTCTTCAGCGCTGGGCGCTAGTAGCGTTAGCAGTAGTCTTCAGCGCTGGGCGCTCTTAGGACCTAGAGTAGTACTAGAGAGACAGAGATTGGGCGGAGGCCAGGGATACTTACCTGCAGCGCCATAGCTCCAGCTTCGCCTTCGAGGTACCTGCAGCACAGCACCAACTTCACAGGTTAGTACCTGGCATATGAGAGAGAGAGAGAGTTCCTCTTCTTCCTCTTCTCAGCCCCCTATCTCCATCTCACCCTCTCGCTACCTGACTTCACTGCATCAGCAGACTATGAGAGAGCGGGCTTGGTGACATTTGGATCCAGACTCGACATTTGGGCTTCAGACATTTTGACGAGGGATTATTTGGGACTTGTAACAAAGACTTGGTGTTGACGACATTCCCATCTCTCCCCCTCTTCTTTGTCTGTTCCCCTTCGTCTGTGCATGATCTGGACCTGGCGCCTTCTTCTTGTGTATAGCGCCAGGCCCCTTCACACTTGTGATGAGAATGATGTATGTTGGGTCTGCGTTGCAACGTTGATTGGGCTAGTCATTGGTATCCTAGCATTCTGCTGTGCTGTCTTGCACTACGTGATAGAGGTGAGTCCCGGTCAGGTCAGGACTTGTATCTAAGTCTTCCGCTGCGCCACAAGGCGCCATTTTGTATGTATCAGAATGCACATTGCTTGTTGAGATTCCACTTGCACTGCATCAGTGCATTGTCCATTCAGTCCTTTTTATCACATTGCGGATCCTCGATTTATATGTACATTGCCCAACTGGGCATGTAACAGTTGGTATCAGAACACTGCATGTGAATCAGGACAACCTGATCTGACACATGTGCGGGGACTAAGTAGCTGATTAGTCTTGATTGATTGATTAGATGTTGCATACCATCACGGTGCAGACCAGACCAAGAACCGATCTTTCTCGCCAGATACAAGAGAGCACAGCGGAAGGCTCAAATACCACTGCTCCGATCAATCAAGCTGCCATGCAGACCAAACATACATCATCATCATTTCATGGTGTGAAGGGGCTGACGCTCACACAGGAGGAATGCGTCAGTCCCCTGATCATGCACAGATGAAGAAGAGGGGGATTAGACGAGGGGGAGGGGGAAGATGGAAATGTCGTCAACACCAAGTCTTCGATACAGTCCCAAATAATCCCTCGCCAAAGGTCTGAATCCCGATGCTGAGTCTGAACCCAAATGTCGTCAAATCCCAATGTCGCCCATCTCTCTCTCTCTCTCTCTCTCTCTCTCTCTCTCTCTCTCTCTCTCTCTCTCTCTCTCTCTCTCTC